ACCCTTAAACTCTAAACCCCTAAACCGATAAACCCTAAACCTTAAACCCTCAAACCTAAAGCCTACACCCTTCTAGGCACGTTATGTACGGCGATCTGCATGCGACCGGGGTGCTGACAAGACGCAGGTTTCCAGAGTGACCAATACCTCAATGAAGCCCCTTCTAGTTCAAGGTTATATAGGGGCCTTAGTAATACACTAAACTTCTAATTCAAGGTAATATAGGGGCCTTAGTAATTAGGGTTTAGGGTTTAGGGCCCCTTCTAATTCAAGGTTATATAGGGCCTTAGTAATACACTAAACTGCAGAGGTGATGTCATGGGGCTCATCTGCAAGTAGACCCAATTGAGAGAACGAAATGCTACACATCCTGTTATGATGTATGAGTCCTTTTCTAGGTTGGGGTCCCGTTTTAGGTCCCCCAAGCAGTACGGCACCCTCATAAACAGGAACCCTACCAGGAACCCTAGTTTGGAGAACTACCCATATGTTGAAACCCTAAACCCTAAACCCTAAACCGCTTGTCTGTTCCCCAAACGCTATCTGGCTGTCGGCCCTCTGTAAGCTGAGCTGAGGTCCGGTCGTCCTACCGTGCCGGAGAGTTCTTCAAGAGCATTTACAAGGCGGGCGATATGTTGGTAAAAAATAAAAAACAGGTGTAGATGTGAATAGTTGTGTATATATATAGAGAGAGAGAGTATTTGCACACACTTGTACATATATATATATATATACACACATGTGCGTGCGTGTTGGTTATGTACAATGCAGGAAATGGTGCTCAGCTTAGGAATCCGACATCTCCTGAATGCGACGTTCCTTCGGGCTAGCTAGTGCTTGGGACACCTTATATCCTGATATTGCAAGTATGATTTCAGCGATGACGGGGAGTGCTGTGCTTCAATTTTTGTGATGTGTAAGGTAGGGTTTCGGCATGGGCGGAGAGCAGCTGTGTAATTCAGGAGTTCAAGGTTTTGGTGGGCTCTCGAGAGTTGTCCAGTGTCACGATATACAACCCTAAACCCCTTTGCCTTGTAGCCTCGCTGTTGAAGGTGTGAAGGCAGGAAACCCTCTACCCGAGCACCCGAGCCCGTGAGCCCAAAGGACCCTAGCTTGGGGTTTCGGGCTTGATGTAGAGCGGTTTTAGGACGCAACCTGGACAATGCTAGACCTCAGCTGCGCAAACTCCGTCCTGGACGATTATAGTAAGGAATTCCCGAAACCCTATTCTAATTCTTAAAGCCCCTACATAAGAAGTCTTGACCCTTAGGCCGTAAAACCTGAAGCAGCAGATCTACATAAGCGGCCAAGTCAAGCAAGGAGGCCTAAACGAGGGTCGGACCTACAACATCCCAGCGAAATCCTGCTGGACAAAGCCTGACAAGACCCGCTGACACCCCAGCCTTTCATCAAGCTCTGTAGGCGTTTCTGTTCTTTGAAGGACCTCCTAGACGGTATCACAGTCTGAACCCCAACAGAAAAGACCCTAACTTGCAAACCTTGGAAACGGCAACAGAAGCTCAAAAGACACAGCTTGGAAACCTTCCGTAGCAAGGAAATTGTCATCTTTGGAAGCCTTAATAGCCCTAATAGCCAAAAACAACCCTAGTATAACCCTCATAACCCTGAACCCTAAGGCTTAAACTGCCCTAAACCCTAAACCCCTAGACCCCTGAACCCTAAGCCCTCCTTCAACCCAACTCCTTATGAAAAGTAAGCCTAAAACCTAAACCCTACTTGGAGGTTCATGGGTAGTCAGAAGTGGGATTCTAAGTATGGCAACTATAGTTATAACCCATAATAAGGGACTTATAACCCCACTTATACCTACCCCTAGACCCTAAACCCTATGTAAACCCTGTAGAACCCTTTAAAGGAACCCTACTTATAGCCCCACTTATGTTTTTTATCGTTAAAGAACCTCCAAGTAATGATGTTTGAAGCCTTGAGCTCGGCACAGGGTCGGCTTGCCAGAGGTGCGCGGCGCTTTGCTTGCGCCTCCGGTTTTCAGTGGTTGAGGGTTTCATGTAGGGGCCTAAATAATTACCAATACAATTTTGAGGGCTCCTTCTTATAATGATAGTATGATGGGCCCTATTCAAATTATTAAGGCCCCAATATTCGGGTGTTTTTGTTGGGGGTTTAGTGTTGTGGATCTAGGATTCAGGAGTAAATATGGTTAGAGCGATGAAGGGGTTTAGGTGCTAGGGTCACCCATTTCATGTGATTCAGGGTCCTCGAAGTCTCGAAGCCAGAGCACAGAAGTGTAAAGAATCACGTAGTTGTACTACAAGATACTCCCGGACCATAGTCCCATGACATGCATCCACACCCACATTTCTTTTGTTGTTTGGTTGCTTGTTCGTCTTGATGCTTCCCGAAGCATTGCGTCCTTAAGCCCTGAGGCTGCAGAACCTATAATACCTAAGAAGCCTGAGGGAGAACCACTAGTATTCCCTAGAGTATTCCCTAGGGCTCCTCCATATCAAGACTTAAACAAAGTATCCGACAAAGCCCTATTGAAACACCCTTAACCCGAAACCCTAAACTGCCATTGCTGAAGCCCTAATCCCGATAGACTTTGCGAAACTTAAGACCGCAGGGGTGACAAAGCCGCTGGAGCTTCGCCGGGAGCCTCTGACATCGGCAGCATTCCTTGGTGAGTAGAGTTTAGGGTTTTAGGTTTCAGGGTTGCTGCTCTGGGCTTGGCGTCCGAAGATCTGCCAGCTTTTTTGGGCAAGGTTGGGGCTTGGACCTTGAAGCGCGGAGAGGGTTAACGCGATATTCCAGCCATCATGGCTCGCCCTGAGGATCCACCACCGAAACATCCGGGCATCCGATGAAAACTGACTCTTGATACTTAAATTTAGGACATTTTCAGGTGGGTAGTTGCCGTTTTTTTGAAGCCTTTTAGAAGGTCTATATACCTTAAAGAAGCCTTATAGAAGCCCTATATACCCTGAACTCACCACCTGCAGTTTCCTTTAACCAAAACGTCAGCATCTCTGGTCTGCTCCTTCAGAGTATTTGGCCCTGGGCGCCCTAATGTAGGGGCCTGAGTACTTAGAATAGTTTTATTTGGGGGGGAGGGCTCCTTATTATAACTACTAATGTAGGGGGCTAAATAATTACCAATACTATTTTAGGGGCTCCTTATTATAATTTGTACAGTAGTATAAATGACCCCACAACCCTATTCTATTTATTAAGGCCCCTATATTGATTGAGCACCCTTGATTCGACAGTTCTCTTTCCGTGGGGGCCAAAGAAAGCACAAGGGCAAGGGCAAGGGAATCTTTCTAGCCTATCGGCCTATCAGTGACAATGCACAGAGACTCCGAAGCCCTAAACCGCACAACCTGCCGTGAACACTAAGAACCGAAAGCTCTGAACCCTAAACCATCAAGAGGCAAGCTCTGAACCTGAACGAAGGTCCCGGCGAATCACTCGTGCGTCAACAAGCGACCCTGTGAGCCAGGAGCATCCAGAAAATCACCCTGTAGGGGAAAAGGGGAACGGGCTCTTAAAAGGGTTAATTCAGGCCTCTGTAAGTAGACCAGGGAGCATGCACGCAGCACACGAGTGGAATTTTCAACGGGTCCGAGCAGGGTCGAAGATGAGCCTTCGAAGCAGAACAGGTCTTATTCATGCAGCAAGACAGCTAAAGCAGTAATGACAGTGTCAGCCACACGGATACGAAGTCAGGCTGCGATATTCGCACAATGCAGCTTCGGGCTTGCACTTTCCTTTTGAGGGATCCGTGTTACAATGCGTGGCTTGATTCCAACGGTCTGCAAATACCAGTAGTAAGGACCTAGCAAGGCCTACTTAAGGAAGTATAGTCCCCCACCCCCCATCCCCCCTACCCCGTTAAGGGTCCGTATGATGCAAGGGGATGGATGTGTGTGGCTCGGGACGCTCCTACTGCTGAAATGTTTCGACAGTGCTGCACCCAAAGCAGCTGGGCCGCGTGTGCTGCCCACAATCCCAGATGTGCAAGTGAGACGGATGCGCGCCCGTACAGCCACAGTCCCTACTGAAAAGGACCGCGTAGTGATATTTGTGTCCGGGACTTAGATGGAATGTGACTGACATGAAGCATGTTTCGTCTCACTGAAGATATACAATTGTCGCATACTCACGGACTGTGCTGCGCATTCAGTCATGTGCAATCCAGAAGAGCTCACGAGAGTTGTCGACGACCAAAAAGTAGACTGGTATCGGAGTAACTACGGACGTTCCAGATTACTTTTCACATTTGTTGGATTACTGACATTGCTGGATTGTTTGTTTTCATCACCACACGACGTTGGGCTGTCGACAAGATCCGTGTGAAGTTCTGTGTTCAAAGCAGTCTCCAGCCAGCGCAAGTGACAGCTGCTGCAGCAGTGCAGACTGATCAAACCCTACACGCCTACATTGCAAACTCCGATGAATGGTACATACATGTATAACCTACTATAATAGTTGTCACATGATAGTATTTTTTAATATGTATTAGGTTTCGGACAAGGTACAATAAAGAGGATTTGTCGCCAGGGCCTCGGTCTGATGTTGACATTCACAATCCAATCCGAGAGAGTGAAGAACTGACTTCCGTCTCCGGGAGACCGTCATGGGTAGTTATAAGTGGGGCTTATAAGTCCCCTAATATGGGTTATAACTATAGTTACCCTACTTATATCGCCACTGATAACTACCCATGAACCTCCAAGTGTTGGCAAGACCGATGACCCTCGGACCCTAGAATGAAGCATTTAGGGCGGAATCGGAATTCAGTTTCAACATAGCTTGCCGCAGGCGGCCTTGAAAGAGCGGGGCAGCAATTGTCGATCATGGCGCTCCCGGGCCTTACACCAAGTCAGGACCAGCACTGAATCCCTGTGAAGCAGGCATTCGCCCTTCGCAAGCTGGACGTAGATTTGTGGGGCTTGTTCCTCTGACCCGCGCCGTGTGAAAACAACAATCGGAGACTGCCAGCGCTGGTGTTCGGGTTCGACCTGCTACGAGGCTTTATAAGTTGGAAGTTGGAAGGGTGAACAGGGATACACTCAACTCTGATAGCCCTAATATCGGGTCCTTAGTAAATAGAATAGGGATTTTGGGTTGAGAATACTATAACTTAGTAAGGAACCCCAAAATAGTGTTGGCAATCATTTCGGCCCCTATATCAGGCCTTCAAGCCTGAAGGTGAAAAGGTGCGGCTCCGGGGCCTTTCTCTCCAACCGTTTTGGACTTAGAGGTCGTGGTAGATTAGCACCACACTTATTGTAGGGGCCGAAGAAGTTACCATTATACTCTGTTGGGGGGTTCCTGATTATAACTCTAGCATAACGGGCCCCAAACCCTAGTCTAATTATTCAGGCCCCTTATTATTATTATTATTATTATTATGATTAACCCTTAATAACCTAGCTTTTTAAGGACCTATATATAGAAACCACAATAAGGAACCCTAAAAAGGTAGGTTCTTAAGGGTCCAGGTAGGATTCGAGTTTGAGAGTTGGCCGCCTCACGTCCCTGCCAGGCGGCCGCCCATGTGTCCTCCTCCTTCGGCCGTAAGGATGCCAACTGGCCCGGAACTCGGAGAGCACGAAGGGTTCCCAGAGAACCCAACACCCCTTACTTAGGGAATATACCCAAAAAGTATAGGGGCCTTAGTTTTAAGACTTAAACCAGAGATCAGGGGATATACCCAAAAAGTATAGGGGCCTTAATATGAAGATTTACAGTGGCCCGGAACTCGGAGACCAGAAATTCAACCCCAGAGCCTCCGCAACCTTTTTCTCTTCAGTCAGTATATAGAGGTCGGGATAATTAAGTAGGAACACTAGTAAGTTCCCTCTAGTCTCCACCAGATACGCAGGGTATAACGTACACCAAAACCCTATTCTAGCTGCACACGATGGTAACTTTGGATAAACAATAATTCACGACCTAGGATCCACAGCCCGAGAAATCCCAATTCAGAGAGTCTGCCCATTTTGCCCTGCTCATCAGAAGGCTTCAGCGCGTTCATGGGTTTCGCAGTTGGTAGTGCGCAAATCACTCCCAGAGATGCTAAAGCCCAGAGTCTTGACACAGCTCCGGGTCCTTCACAGCAACGCCCCTTACACTCCCAAAGGCCCTCAGTACCCTAAGGACCTAAAGCACCGTGAGCTCGAAGCCCCTAAAACATAGATGTCCAAATCCTTAAGCCCATAGGCCCAATAGTAGTTCCTTTTGGGGGTTACCTTATAGGATTCTGTATATGAATCTCAAAAAGGAACTACTGTAAGGCCTATGGGTAAGCACCTCAAATCCTAAAGAAACAGGCCTTGCTGTCCCTTCTGCAACGGCCATGCTCGCCCGAGAGTCCTGATGTCGGGGCCTAAGGTACTGTACCAGGAGACTGTAAGCGTTAACGCAAGGGCACAGCAACGGTATTTGCAATGTAGAGCTACTGTGCGGGTTTCTATACAGATTAGTCTACGGTGTAAAATGTAAGGATAACGGTTATAAGGTGTACTATATGGTCACTATGATGTCGGGGGTCCGTCAACCTATAGAGAGTCATCTAGAAGCCTGGAGAATAAGAGATACTACGTACTCCTTACGGTTGCTCAATAGAGATAGCGGCTCAGATAGCGTACATTCCACGCCCAAACTCCACTTCTAGCTCGAAGTACTAATGATGCACCTATAGTATGTAAACTGGTCTTTAAACGAAAGGTTCTACATGAGAGCACTTCAAATTGTTCGTAGATGCTGGCTTTGAAGGCTTTGCTGGCTTCAGAGATAGATCGCGGTTGTTCGAAATCAGCGCGCCTTGAAGCAAAAGATGGAACCCCCAAGGTGCATTCTGTTTTTGTTTACGGTCCTTACGGCAGTCCCGAAGCCCTGAAGATAGGAGCGCCCACATGTCTTGGTCCAACACTAACAGGATAGGGGCCACACAAGCCGCAGCCAGCACAAACATCAGCGGGCCAACAACGCAAGCTGCAGCCAACACAAACAGGAGATCATCATTCTTTTATGTTTCGACCAAGATCTCAGGACTGAAGGGTTAAGATTCAGAAGTTTTTCGTTCGGGACACAGCCCCCGAAATTCGAATCCTGAGCCCTGAACAAAGAGACCTGAGGTTCAACGACTCCCACTGGGTTAGCGACTTCGAGCAGGAGACCTCCGGAAGCACGCGTGAAGCTAAGGCTTAAGGGAGTCTTTGTTTTTTTGGTCTCGGGGTTTACGGTTCTAAGGCTTTTGGACGTTTGCGAGTTCAAGCTAACTTTTGAGAGCAGCTGCTTGGGTTTGCGTAGACCCCGGGCTGTTGAATTAACCAGTGCAAGGGTACCAATATATCAGGGGTTAGACAACTCATGCAATCCCGAACGGAACAAACAAATGGGCGGGAATTGCGGCCATGGTATCTAGTGTGTAGTACAGGTCGTGAATGGTGCTCCGCTCAAAGAAGTTACCCCACGTACTCAGTCCCTTGATCCTAACTCCTCTCTATAAACCCGTATCAGCTTATTACCGGATCTGCGTTTCAGAAAGAGCAAAAGCTCGCAGGAGAGCCGCTTTCAGCAATGGAGGGAGGTGCTGGTGGATGTCGGAAGGCCTGCACCTCAGAGGTCCAAGAGGGTTTTCTAAGTCTTCAGCCTTGTTGTTCATAGTCCGTCGGGTCGCGGTCTGGAACTACATTTCGTAGGGATCCGTCAAAGAGCGTACAGGGAATGCGTAAGATATTCAGTTGTCTCCTCTCCCACGAAGGACCGCAAAGCTTTAACTTCCGCGTGGGCTTCCGGGGGCTGTATGGCTTGCGCTCAATGCCTGAAATATAGAAGCACTGAATGACACCATTCCTTTGGGTTCCTTGTTATATATTAATGTACAATATAATTGCCCCGAAGTCCGGTTGGACCCCATATTATCTTGACTTTGGACTTATGCAACACGGTTTGACCTGCAAAGTCGGACAAAGGCATGGCTGAGTCCGGCTGGTCTAAAAACAACATGGTCAAAACGATTTAAGGACTTGATACATGGCCGTATAGTAGAGCTTTGAACACGGAGCCTGAGCGAACGAGATCTTCTGTTGTAGCCGCATGACGATGAAGATTCAATAAGTATAGAAGCCCCGCACCCGAATGTCGATGCAGATTCAGTAAGTAAAGGAGCTCCGTACCCCAAGAATAAGAAGAATAATGACAGCAGCAACCACAGCAACAGCAACAGCAACGGCAACAGCTTGCACCAGCGGCAACAACAGCAACAGCGACAGCACCACCAACAACAAGGTCACGCCACCGTAACGGATC